CTACTAGGAGCAAAGGGCATCGCTACTAGGAGCAAAGGACGCTACTAATGGTTAGAAAGAATGGACCAGATTCTAATCACCAAGCTTCCGCACATGTCAGATGTGTCTTGGCCCCATAGTATTCGAAAGGCTGCTTCACTTTCGGACGTCTTGATTTGTATTTTCAGATCTCAACCTCTGCAGGCATTCATGTAGCCGCAGTCCACATCGCTTCTTTGTTGGGATGCGAAGAAAGCTGTGCCTCGGCAATTCTTTTGGGTCTCAGTTGTCTTCGCCTTCGGCAAGAGTACCATGACTGGTGTCCTAACGGGAACATTTCTCGGCTGTTTGTTCTGCAGCTTGTATTTTGGGGTGTTCTCAAGTGTGAGTCAGTTGGGTTGCAGGACATCGGGGCAGGAGATTGTCAGACATCATGAGATGTCAGTTGAGTTATGCTTCCAGATGCCTTCAGGCTCTCCTCAGGTAGCCCAAAGCAAACATCAATGGCTTTCCTAGGGTGGAGGCCATTCAAAATAGGTCTATTCTTATCTTTTTTTCTTTTTTAGATAGTCATTTTGAGTCACTCAACGGTTTCGTCCAAGTCGGTGGCGCGAAACAGCACGAGCGAACAGCTCTTAGGTGAGGAGTTGGACTTTGAAGCTTTGGAGGCTGGACGACTTCCCAAAAGGAACATGAAAAAGAACGAAGGGGACGGAAACAAGAAAAGGTCTAAAGTCGAGTCTAAAGGTTGAATTACGGTAACAACAACATAGAAACAAGATGAAAGGACATCAAGCATTGAAGCGCAACAATGAACAAACATCAACTGGATAGACCAGCATCAGCGAAATCCCCGTGCTCCAAACCTTTTCGAGACATGGTTGCATGATGGATGATGGAATGTTGACGGGTTCAAGCAAAAGATGTCCTCGAATCTTGGCTTCATTTTGGTTAGACGGTTAGACGTTAGGGTGTTATTTTTTGTGCATTTTGTGCAGTGCGCTGCCAGGAGCAGGTGCAGATCTGTCTCTTGGGTCTGGTACAAGGGCTGGAGGCGGATTTTGGAGTGCACGTGCGGTGAGATTCCTTGTTGAACGTCAAACCGTCTTGGTTTCGCTAAGTTCACGAGGCCTGTAATTCGCGCCTGGAGAGACTTTATGTGGACTTTGATTGCTTGGATGATGGTGCAGCCGAAGGTGGGGAGATTGGTCGCTTCAGGGTTTCCCTGCGGGATATACAACTACAAAAGACTTTAACCAAAGACGAGTGCTTTCCAATTAATTTGTGATTGTGTTCTGGCTTTGTTGATAGGCCTGGGTAGGCAAGTCCAAGACCTACGGTGGTCATGGGAATTAGAATTCTTGAATCCAACAACCCTTGCTGGCCCAAAATGCAAAAGCAAGAAGGCGTCTCAACACACTTCGAACTTGGGTTTTCAGTTAGACTCAATTGCCACGTTGGGAAGGAAGGTGAGGGAACGGCAAGGCGAGTGAGTCGGCACAACAGTATTGTTTAAAATTGTTTAAAAGAAAGTGATGGTCAGCAGCTGCAATGCGGAAGGAAAATGGTTTGTGGGAGGTATCATGAACAACCATGAAAGCAAAAAAGGAAGATTGGAGTAACGGCTTGTGAACAGTTCGGCAGGTACACAGTCAGACGTCTCTGACTGCTTCCCATGACATCACTAGCTTCGTTGGCCAGCGTCGTGATGCCATGCGCTGGCCCCCTTGCTGGAAAAAGAACGTGGAAAGCCCTTAGAACCAGGGTGCGACACACACAACAAGCCGTGGTCGGCGCACAGATCAAGCGGTGGAGAAACCGGACCTTTTTCTCTCAAAAGCCGCCTGCACGCGTGCAGGTCGTGCCCTTTTTGGGCATACAAGTGGACCAGGGCTTCAGCCGCAGCGGTGGCGTTGTGGGGTGGGAAGGTGTATGTATAGATGGAGTGAAGTCTGGAAGCTAAGCCGGACAGAGCCAGGCGCTGGCTACCGGCGCTGGTGTGATCCCTGATTTTTCAGGGTTGGGTGGGTTGGATGTAGGTGATGGTGCGTTGCTGAAGGTCAATGTTGAAACCCAGAAGGTGGAAGTCATCCACCGTCTCCAATTCGACGGGATCGCCGAAGAAGTTGTTGTGGATGAGAGTCTGGATGGCGGGATGTGAAAGGAAGTGTTCATTGTGGACAATGAAACGGTTGTCCACGTAGCGGTAGTATGTGAAGTGGAGGGCAGTATGTTGAAGGAGATTGTTGTGGAGCTGGTGCCAGGAGTGTTCGATGAGGGTGATGGCAACGTTGCAAAAGGCAGGTGAGAGCTGGGAGCCAATCCCAGCCCCCCGGATTTGCTTGTAGGTGTTGTTGCATGCCCGGAAAATGCAAGTGTCAAGTGCATATGCCACAATGGTTGTAATGTCCGCAGTGTGGATGGTGCGTTGTGTGGGGTGGCGTCGGTGGTGCCTGCCGATGTGGGAGTGGTGGAAAGGGTTGCCAGTGGCTATGGTGTCAACGGTAAGAGTGTGGGTGTAGTTCTGGCGTTGCCATTGCTGAATGAGGGAGTGGACGGCGTCAATCAGGCGATGTTGTGGAACTGAGTTGAAGAAGCCAACAAGGTCGTCGTTGGTGGCGTGTAGGGGAATGTCGGGTGGGGTGTCAGTGAGGTAGTGAAAGTGGGACCACAGTTGTGGAATGGAAAGTTGGCCTGGATGCTGAGGAAGGAGGTGTTGTAGGATGATGTCAAGGGCTCGGCTGGTAATGCGGAGGAGATTGCCGCTCAGGGACTGAAAGTACGAGATAATGGTGCGGCCTTTTCTCCACCGTTTCTTCTCCTTGAGGTGAACGATGCCGTGGGGGATGGTGAAATCTTTTCTGAAGCCCCATTTGTAACGTGTGCGGAGGCTGGGGGGGATGGTGTGTGTTAGGTGTTCGTGGATGTTGGACGATTGGAGTGTTGGCATGGGTGCAAAGAGTTCCGGCGATTGCCAGGTGGCAAGCGCCCTGGCGAAGTATTGGCGGGGGCAGAAAATGTGCAGGCGTTGCAGTTCGTGGTCCGCATGGTGAAGGACAACTTGGTCGCCCAGAAATTCCTGGAGTTGCCGGAGAAGGCGGGCTGTGAAGCGGGGTTGGTGTTTCAAATGGTCGGTATGGAGCCTCCATTGGTGCTGGAGGAAGGGTTCCAAGTGCTGTGTGAGTGAGGGTGGAAGGCCTTGAATGCGCAGCCATTTTGCGAAGGCAGTCTGGAATGAAAGGAAGTATCTGGCCTTGCTGGGGAAAAAAGTGCTGTTCATATTGGCCGCCAGGGGTATGCGGAGGTGCGGTGGTAGTGCGAGTTGTTCAAGGGTGAGGATGTAGTGGTTGTCGATTGTGGGTGTGGTTGGGTCAAGGAGAATGGTTTTCAGTTGGGCGCATGCGCATGGCAAGTCACTGGAGGTCGGAGGGTTTGGTAGCGTACCCTCCCAGGTGCGGTGGTTGTGCAGATGGGCCCGGAGAGTCTTGTGGCCTGCTTCCCGCAAACGGCGAGTAGGCAAGTGGAGCGGGATGGCCAGGTGTTTGTGGTGCTGTATTGTGGTTTTTAGCCACTGTTCACAGTGTTTGGGAAACTGCTCGTGGGCCAGGAATGGGATGGTGAGGGGGATGTTGGGCTTGGGCGGACTGAGGTTGCGGTACTGGAGGGCTTGTTGATGATGTGGAGTGCTCTGCTGCGGCCAGGCTCTTCCAGGTTGGATGCCATTCGTCGGATGGCGTAGACCTCCAGGTCAGTATGCTTGCCGCTGCGCAGTTGTTTGGCTGCTTCAAAGGATGCCCGTGTGTGTTTGGTAAGATTGCGAAGAAGAGTGAGGGAGTGCAGTCGAGTGGAGGTAAAGAGATGTGGTTCGTGAATGGCATGTTGCCGTCTGCGGAGCTTGCGGAAAAGTCGCTTGTGGGTTGCCAGGCGGGAGTAGAAATGAGCGCGGTGTTTGGTGAACTGCCAACCTTGAGCTTTGAGCTTGAGGTGGTGGGAGATGAACGGCCAATTGAGTGGCGGCATCCAGTTGGAAACGAGGTAGTGTTCTTGGATCCAAGCTTGATCGTATGTGTCATGTGAGGAAAGTTGACAATGGGTGTGAAGTGGTGGATGTTGTTGTGGGAATGCCAGTAACGAAGGGACAGTTCTGCTGAAATTGGAATGTTGTTCTGCAATTGTTTGAGTTTTGCCCGACGGTTGTGTTCCCTGTGTGGGATGCCGATGCCAGTGGAGCCGATATAAAAATGGCCGTGTTGGCGGTAGCAGCGTTGTGGGGTGGTGGGGTTGAAGTAGAGTTTGACATACACTGCATTGGAAGAAAGAAAGTTGTGGTAGTGGTAAGTGTGAGGTTGTATGTGGAGGTGTTGAAGTCGTTGACGCCATTGCTGTGAACGTTGGGTAGAGGAAGGGTAGCAAAAGAGAAGGGTGATGTGGATGAGGCCCACAGCAAAGAGGGCCTCGGCACGTTCAATGTATTGGCTGTAATGGATGAGAGTGGAAAGGGCTTGGTGTAAACGGAAAAGTTGGTGGAGTTGGGTTTGGTGCGGCTGGCGTTGACTGGTCAGGGCTAGTCAGCATGCGATGGCAGCCCCCACACTGACAATGTGTTGGAGGCTCTTGATCGAAAGCTTGTTCACGCGAATCAGTGGGAGGCCGTAGCGGGTCGCGGCCTCCTTACGCTGGTCAGTGGAAACCTTGCTAGTCTGGAGTAAACGCAAGATTTGCTGAGCTGCCTCTTGGACTTTGGGCTCAGAGGTCCGCATCCATTGTTGGATGGAGGGTGCGGTCCATGCTTCAGGAGCGTCGTCCTTGAGGGTGGGGTAGGACGGTTGAAGCACGTCTGGGAGCGCTGGTGGTTGGTGAGGTGCAGGAGGGGCGGGAGCGCTGGGGCGGCCGGTGTCTTTCTTGGGGGTAAGTTCCAGTCCATGTGGCTGGAGTTTCTCCCGGGCGCGGGCAAGATCATCGGAGGTGGCTTTGAGCGCTCGGATGGCTGAGCCTTCGGCAACTGCTGGAGAGTGGGCTTGCAGTTGGTCGGTTAAAAGTCTGATGAGGGGAGAGTGGAATGCTCGTGCTTGTGTTGTTTTGTTGGGAATGGTGGTACCGGCCTTGGTGTGCATGGCTTCGGCGATAGCGTCTAAGTCCAGACGCTTATCACGAATCTCCTGAAGGAGATGTGTGGTGAAAACTGACTCGGCAACACTCCTCGTAGGAATGAGCCCGCAAAACTTGCCGTGACTGAGCGTCCTGGCTGTAAAGTCCGCCGTCCCATGGTACGCAAGTAACCAAGGGAACACCTCAAAAGTCGGCAAGCCTGCGATCCCGACACGTCGAGACCATTGGGTGGGCTGGATGTGACGGTGGAGTTGATGTGGAGTTATGTCCGTGAAGGGTGTTTGAGTCCCAACAGGAATCCGTGGAGTGCCAGGACTCTTGGATGGTTGGGGTTGGAGATGGAACTGTAGGAGGAGGTGCCGGTGGAGCCGAGTGAGTGGGACTGCGCTTCTGTTGTGGTGTTGCTGGTGAGGCCGTAGGGAGTGGTGGCGGTGGCGGCGGAAGGAGAGGTGTTTGGCGGCGGTGTATGAGATGGTGGTGATGTCGAAGGCGGTGGCGTGTAAGGGTGAGCCTGATGCTGTTGGTGCATGCGAATGGAATGGCCCATGGGGCCGTACGTGGTTGTCGGCGTGTATTGGGCGGCGTCCGTGCCCGAGGCAAGCTGACGCTGTTGCTGCTCGAACAGGTAGTGGTTCCAGTAATATTGCTGCCATTGGGCGTCCATGATGGGGACAGGTGGAGGACGAAGATGATGGCGGGAAGCGGTCAGTTTGAGCACGAAAAGCTGAAATGGAAGAAACGAAGCAACCTGCAATGCACATAGAGATCAAAAGACTGTACATTGAATAAATCTCAAACTGTGGTACCTGCGGGACTTAATTGATGACTTAGTCAATCTAAAAGGTAAAATGAAGTGAGCCGAAAAGAGTAACAATCCATGAAAGTGTCACGACCAAAATGAGAGGATGCCATGTCTTGTAGGGCAACCGCGGATTTTTCGTGGTGCGAGTGAAACAGCTGGTGTTGGCGGAGGATCAGTAAGGCCACAGGTAGAGAAGACAAGCGAGATTCGAAAATGGTAGTCATCAAAAACGTTTGTGTGGCCAAAATGGACTCTCACTATGGCTGCTCGTCGGCGCCGAAGTTATTCCAAGGATCATTCGCTGGGTCATAATCTTGGGCATGGAGCGGTGCATGGCTTGGGCTTCACCGCCGCTGGTGAATTTGGTGCACCGGCCCCAGGCTAGGAGATGGATCATGATAGAATGGATGTCTTTTGCCAGCTTCCATGTGTTGTGTAGTACGCGGGCCTGTTCATAGTTGTCGTGGATTTGCTGGTGAGTAATGCGTGTGGCTTGGGCAAAAAAACCCGGGTTGGTGTCAAAGTGTAGGGTGCTGGGCAAGAGACGGCCCTGTTGTAGAATATCAGTGATGTTGCCGTGGGGGCCTGTGTGACCGGCGTTGATGTGTACTGTCTCTGGGGTAGTGGAGGTGGCACGAGTGGCAGGCGGTGGTGTTGGGCGAGTGGCCTTGTCGACCAGACTGGGGATGTTGATGCAGTGGTAGGAGAAGGTGTCATAGGTGTTGGTAGCATCATTCCACTTCACATGGGTGAGTTGTCGGAAGTCTGCCAAATCATCGATGGTGTAGCCGATGTCAGCGAGCAGTTTGGCTACGTATGCGTGTTGTGGTTTGTTTTCTGCTGCCAATTGTGCAGCGTGAAAGTCGAGCCACCATTCAATCTGTGCTTGGTGGGAAAGCTGGTGGAAATGTGGTCGTGGTGGTGGCTTGTAAGGCGGATGGGGCCGTCGTATTGCTGGAATGTTGGGGGCGGCTGCGGGAGCGGCTATCCGAAGATGTGGTAAATGAAGTTGAGGGGGAGCGGCGACGCCGGCGGCGTGTCGACGACGCTTTGGCAGTGGAGGCTGCAGGAGAGTGGTGATGTCCGGTGTGCTTGGCGCGTGTGCGTCGACTGCGGTGGCGGCGACGACGTCGGCTGCGGCCTCTGCTGCGGTTGGTGCGGCCAGTGGTTGCAAGAGAGGCCGGTGTTGTAAGGGCTGTGCCCGAATGGGTGGGTGTAGCCGCGGGAGGTTGCTTGTGAGGCCCCGAGTTAGTACTGAAGGTGCTTCCGTTGGGGGTGGCGGTGGTGGCAGTAGTGGTGGGGCGGTGGCTGGTGGTGGAGCAAGGTTAGTGGCTGGCGACGAGGAGGGTGGCGTAGCGGTTGTAGCAGTGGTGGCCGGTTGGAAGGTGCCCTGAGTGGGATTGGCTGGTGTTGGGATGTTCAGAACGTCAGGAGCGGGTGGCGTAGGTGCCACCGTGGAAGGTGTTGAATCAGAAGGAACAACGTGATGCTTGATGTGGCGAAGGGTGAGCAACGGGTGGAAAGAGGGAGTAAGGCTGCCAAACGCCTTGAGAATGGTCCCAGTGGATGGGAGCCTGCTGGGGCGGTGGTTGTGGTTGTGGTGCCTCCGGACTGGTGCAGCTGATGGCATGTTGCAAAGAGGGTGGACGGTGGAGAGGTTGTGCTGGCATGGTCTCAAATGCCTGCATCTGAGGTGGTGCTCACAAAGGTTGGTGCCGGTGGAGGATGTGTTGGCGTGGGATGTGGCCACGTAGGAGTTGGTGGTTGCGGTGAAGCGGTCTGAAAGTGAGGGAAGATTGTCTGCTGTAGTGGATGAGACAGAACGGTAGGGACAGGTGCCGTTGGTGGATTGTGGTGGCTGAGTGCTGACAGTGGGTATTGTGGGCGCGGTACACGGTGGTGGCCATTGTGGATACGGCCAGGGATACTGCGTGTGAAGAGCGATGGAGAGGTCAATCCGAAAGGCTGCAGAAAATGGCGCCGGCGCGGCACAGCAGCGGAAGTGAGAAGTTGGAGATGGTAGTGAATTCTGGAGCCTGAGTGCGTGTGCTGTGAAAAAATTAATTAAGGTGAATTCGTGTCATGCAATGCAATCCCTGAGGTCTGCGGTGCGGAACGTATGAAAACTGATCGGTTGCTAAACAGCTGCGGGTGAAAAGTTAAAAATTCAAGAATGCAACAATACGCAGTAAGGATGAGGCTCAAAATCATTGGTGGGAATTCCGTCGCTTATAGCCCGGCGGCTCGAAAATCAGTAAATTCAGGAATAAAGTTGAACAAACGGAAAGGCAGTTATAAAAATGGAAGGTCGGTGATTTCCAGTATGAATTCGGCGCCTCCTTTCGGAGGGTCACACCCAGTACCCATGTGGGAAGACTGAGCGGTCCACACTTCGAACTTGGGTTTTCAGTTAGACTCAATTGCCACGTTGGGAAGGAAGGTGAGGGAACGGCAAGGCGAGTGAGTCGGCGCAACAGTATTGTTTAAAATTGTTTAAAAGAAAGTGATGGTCAGCAGCTGCAATGCGGAAGGAAAATGGTTTGTGGGAGGTATCATGAACAACCATGAAAGCAAAAAAGGAAGATTGGAGTAACGGCTTGTGAACAGTTCGGCAGGTACACAGTCAGACGTCTCTGACTGCTTCCCATGACATCACTAGCTTCGTTGGCCAGCGTCGTGATGCCATGCGCTGGCCCCCTTGCTGGAAAAAGAACGTGGAAAACCCTTAGAACCAGGGTGCGACACACACACACACATCCCCGCTTATACAAAACGTTCGGCTTCTATGGCTTTCTTTGTTCTCTCCCGGTCGGTCAACGGTGTCGGTGACCGTCACGGTCCGTGTCGAGGCCTCTTTGGCTCGGAGGGGATGCTGAAAGAGGATTTGCAGGAGATCCAGGCGAGATCTTGCGCCCTTGGTCGGTTTCGATGGTTGGGAGTGTCTTTGGACCTTCAATGATCTCAAGACTTTTGTTTCTTTCTTGCGATTTCCATGTTTAAAATCATTTTTTTGTATTCTTAAGAATCAGAAATGTTCCAGTTTTCTTTTTCCCGAATGCGTAGCGAAGGGTTCTCGTTTAACTCTGGGGGTCTGGGGGTAGAGTCTTGTTCGCGACCCGTTGCTTCTATGTTCGCAACCGTCCGCAACCGTTCGCAACCGTTCGCAACCGTTCGCAACCGTTCGCAACCGTTCGCAACCGTTCGCAGTAGGACGCTAAGGCGCTGCCATTGGGGGAAGCTTTTGTAAGTGACTTTTCATGGATGTGTCACGTGTCAGTTTGCGACGCTATTCCATTGTGATTTGCATGAAAATGACATGTCGCGCAAGAAGCGTGATGCATTTCGCTGCACAGGCGCAGTGGTTTGAGAGATCCGCAGTTGACTGCGCAGTTCCATTGGGATTAGCGTTTGGAGAGTCGTGTTTTTGGGGTGTTGGATGTGGCCGTGCCATTGGGATTTGCGTTTCAGGGTGTGGCATCGAAGCTCTGTTTTCGTGACAAGTCTCAGCTGAAATGGCGATTTTGGTGGATGGGAGTGTGCTCAGAACGGGTCGAAATCATTCTAAACGTGTGGTGTGGTGCAAATTTTGTTGAAGCTCACGTGAGATGATCTTCTCACTTTTCGAGGCAGGCACAGTACTTTGTGCTGATTTTGAGGTGTGGAAGTGCGATTCTCGTGGCAGGCGCAGGAAATCGTGAGGTTGCGAGGTGTGACGGAGGTGACATTTCGTGGCAGGCGCAGTACTTTGTGCGCGTTAGACGTGTGGATGCGGAAAGATTCGTGGCAGGCGCAGGGAATCGTGAGGTCGTGAGTTGTGGTAGAGGTGAATGTCGCTGTCACATTGGGATTGGCGTGTGAGGGGGTATTGTTTGGAGGGGCTGGACTCGCGAAACTGCTTGGCAGGGCTGCGTGATGTGTGTGCTCCGATGGGTGTTTCCGCTTGACTTTTGGAGGAAGTCTCGTACGAAATCCTCGTTTTGCAGACTTTGACATGTGAGTTTTGGAGGAAGTCTCGTACGAAACGCTCGTTTTGGAGACTTGACACGTGACTTTTGGAGGAAGTCTCGTACGAAACGCTCGTTTTGGAGACTTGACGTGTGACTTTTGGAGGAAGTCTCGTACGAAGCGCTCGTTTTGGAGACTTGACGCGTGACTTTTGGAGAAAGTCTCGAACGAAACGCTCGTCTTGCGCAGCCTCGAAGCGTGACTTTTGGAGGACGTCTCGTACGAAACGCTGGCAGGAGTGCTTCTAGTGTGCCACAAGAGTGTCCTACAAGAGTGTCCCACAGCCACAAGAGTGTCCCACAAGAGTGGTCCTACAAGAGTGTCCCAGAAGAGTGTCCCACAAGAGTGTCCTATAAGAGTGTCCCACAAGAGTGTCCTACAAGAGTGTCCCATAAGAGTTTCCTACAAGAGTGTCCCACAAGAGTGTCCCACAAGAATGTCCCACAAGAGTGTCCCACAAGAGTGTCCCACAAGAGTGTCCCACAAGAGTGTCCCACAAGAGCGTCCCACAAGAGTGGCCTACAAGTGTGTCCTACAAGAGTGTCCCACAAGAGTGTCCCACAAGAGTGTCCTATAAGAGTGTCCCACAAGAGTGTCCTACAAGAGTGTCCCACAAGAGTTTCCTACAAGAGTGTCCAACAAGAGTGTCCCACAAGAGTGTCCCACAAGAGTTTCCTACAAGAGTGTCACACCAGAGTGTCCCACAAGAGTGTCCCACAAAATTGTCCCACAAGAGTGTCCTACAAGAATGTCCTACAAGAGTGTCCCACAAGAGTGCCCCACAAGAGTGTCCTGCAAGAGTGTCTCACAAGAGTGTCCCACAAGAATGTCCGACAAGAGTGTCCCATAAGAGTGACCCACAAGAGTGTCCTATAAGAGTGTCCCACAAGAATGTCCGGCAAGAGTGTCCTACAAGAGTGTCCCATGTCCCACAAGAGTTTCCTACAAGACTGTCACAAGAGTGTCCCACAAGAGTGTCCTACAAGAGTATCCCACAAGAGTGTCCTACAAGAGTGTCCCACAAGAGTTTCCCTACAAGAGTGTCACACAAGAGTGTCCCACAAGAGTGTCCTACAAGAGTATCCCACAAGAGTATCCCACAAGAGTGTCCCACAAGAGTGTCCTACAAGAGTGTCCCACCAGAGTGTCCCACAAGAGTATCCCACAAGAGTTTCCTACAAGAGTGTCCCACAAGTGCCACAAGGAGTGTCCTACAAGAGTGTCGTGTAAGAGTGACCCACAAGAGTGTCC